GGGTTTGCTTTTGGCGTTGATTATTCTAGGCAGATATGAAACGAACGTAATAGGACTTTCTGGGGGTGAAAAGATTGCAAAATTTGTAGTGGATGTGAGTTAAAAACAGTTAATAACAGCAAAGGTTCAATTATCAAATTAACTGAGGAAATTAAAGAAACTAATAATGAATTAGGCAAAAGAACTGGCTACTGATACAAACAAATCAAAACTGAATACGAAGCCAAAACAGTGGTGCCATTTAAGGATTGTAAAATAATGTAATGATGCCTGATAATGTAGCGAGGACGCTTGGATTAGCAATAACTTTTTCATTCTTATATTTGCTCTGTTCTTTGGTTTTAATAATTAGGGGTGTTCACCTTTGACTTAAAAGGTTTAGTAAAAGAATTAAATATTCAGTTATCTCCTAACGCCATTCAGCAAATGGAGCAAGCCACTAATTATCAACAGTTAGCCACTACTCGCAATGCGGAAATTAAAAAGCATTTACAGAAAGATTTAAATAGTTTAGCGGTGGCTAACGCGTCAAAAGAAATAATTCAACCACCAAATAAGGAAAGAATTATTTTAATTAGTTTGCTAGCGGTGAGTTTATTAAGCATTGGAGGAATGTTAATGAAAATTGCTAAAAGCAGGAAGAGAAATTAATATTTTTTCAAAGAGGTTCGGTCGCAAAAGAATTGAAGCAGAAGCTTCTTTTGGAATGGTTTAGTTCGTTAGTTTCAGTTAAGTTTCTCGTCAAAGTATAAGTAGTTTTTAGTTTAAAATCAACCAATTTTCTTTTTAAGTCGGTTGGGATTGATCTGATTTCCCCAGCAACTCAAAAACTCTCTTAACAAATTTTTCCTAAAACCCAGTATACTCATCCTTTGATAAAGAGCGAGAGAGTATACTTAGCTCTAACTCTAATTCTTACTAAACTCTCCCGGGAACTCACCCTATCTCTTACCACCTTTCCTACCACCCCGGGAGTTAAAAAAATTAAAACCCCTCCTCCTCAGTTGCCTTCGAATTGTGTAAAAAATAATTATTATTATTTGATTTTGTTAATTGACTCATTTTTGAAAAAATCGATCTTTGTGATTTATTATTCTTTTCATCACTATTCTAAACAAATAAAATCAATCATAAATGTATAAAGTATTAATATTAATGGAAAAAAAAAGTTAATATTACACATCCCAAAAATTTTTATTTACCTCTTTATTTGAAAATTTGGATTCAGATTTTTGTAAAGTTGCTTGATGAGGGTATGAAGCTTTCTTAGTATCATTTGAGAACTTAACGGCCGTAGAGGATCTTTGCGACCTATTTTGGAATCCTTCATGAGTGATATTGGTATCATTGTTGTCGGGATATTTTGATAAAGAAGGATTTGATATTGAATATTTCCGATTTCCAAGTTTACGGGATGATGGTTTTTGATCAACAAAAATTTGCTAAAACACAAACAAAAATAGAAAATAGAAGATTAACAAATGTAATAAATAATAATAATCAAAATATTAATAATTAATAGTAGTCCTAAATAAATACAAACCTCTTCATATTCAGAGCTATCATCCTTCTCATCTTCTTTATTTTTATCATTTATTGAAAATTCGGATTTCAGTGCAGTAATAGCATTCATTATATGAACACGTTTACCAAATGATGCAATATTCAATTCCTTTA